CGAACAGGATGTATGGGATCCGTATTTTGTTGTTGTTGTTGCACTCTCCGGTGTACACGACTGTGAATAAAGCTAGTACGTAACTGCTCGGTATGCTGGCATGTTGGGTTTATATAGCGTGGGTCTAATAAGATGAGATTCTCTTGAACGGCGTGGAGATCCCGGTAGGTGTGAGTAGAGGGGCCCTGCCATACACAGAGGGGCGACTCCCTTGCCGTGCTTTACCTTGCTATGTCTTACCTTGCCTTATTTTACCTTGCCTTAGACCTGGTAAAGAGGAAATCGACCACAGGGAGACAAGGTGCGCGCTACGTGCCAAGATACTTCTGTGATCCGGAGATCCTCGTTGTTAGGCCGCGGACGGCACGAATGAGGGTGTGTGCCTAATATGTGAAATATGAATTATAAATTAATTATGTGATATTACGAACATTTTCTTTTAAGCCAAAATGATACACTTGTAAGAAATATAACGGAAAATTATGTTTTGATAATGATAAAGATTGATTAATATTATACGATACAAACACAATACGATATAATATTTTTTGCAAAATAAGATAAATTGTAAAAAAATATTATATCGACTATAATCACGATTATATGATTATCATATATTTAAACAAAATACAATTATTCAAACAAATGCACTCTTGTCTAATTGTTTGTTGGTATCTTTTAATTTTATTTTCATTCCAGACTTATATCATTATACTGTTCAAAGTGGCTACCTGATGCCTCTACGAACGCGACTTGCCATATTTCCGTTGTGTGTGTGTGTGTGTGTGTAACTGCTTTCCTGAATATTGGTAAGTTTATTGCTAATGCTATCAGTTTCAATTATGCTTTGCTTCAATTGTCCTATCAATTTCTTATGGGTCTAGGTTGATTCGTACATGTGAAAGTACTGTCAATGTAAAATCAACAATTAAACAGATATTAAATGTATATCAGATAGTTTGAATGTCTCAGCAACTATAAGTGATAAACTTCTCATATTTCAACAACGGAGCCAAATCGACCCATGGTTTATATAACTTGTTTTTGCTTAGAATAACTACCCGAACACGCTAGCGAAGTTTGTTTTATTGCAAAACACCCTGCATTGCAAAACACCCTAAAATTATAAGAAACTCTAACTAAAATATAGACAGATATGTGAGAACCAAGATAATTAAAATCTTTAAGTCAATAAGGGTACAATGATCGTTTGGTTTTAGATAAATGGGCATTTCTTTTTGATAATTATTGAATGTGTTCCTTTAGAACAGATTATATAAAATATCAATTGAATATGTGTGTATGGCAATCTTTATTTATTTACTTATGAAAAAAGATACTTTTCTCTCCTACACGTCTAATTACACATGATGCTTGCATATGGTGTTTGCTCTACAAGTTTCTAATATAACTATCTGCGTAATCGATGGCGTAATGCGAGATTTCGAACTCGCTGAATTTATCCTTTTGCTTCTTCCGTGATATTTAACCTTTTTATAACTCTTCCATAAACGAAGAGAAATTCTCGCATGATATTCAATCATTGCGTGTGAATACAAACACGTTTTCTTGTTTATCGATAAAGTTCAGTTTTCTATTTACTAGAGCACAATAATTGGATTATATAATTAAACACAATAAAGAAAAAAATTAATTAATTCATTAAAATTAATGTAATTGGACATTGCATTAATTTTTGCATTATAATGAATAATGCGTAATAACAATAACAATAATTATGTTATTTTTTGTCGAACAACATTATTTACACTGAAAGAAAAAAATGATTGCAATTACCCATTATCTTATATAATTTATAGTGTTTTTCGATACCAACCATATTTTTATCTGTGTTCTAACTATGCAAATTATAGTTAACTCAACACTGCTGTCATTATAATTACAATATTAATTTATATAACCATATCACACACACACATATGGTTGTATTAACTTTAAATCGAGATTTTTGTTTGCACTAGTAAAATTAGTACTTTTAACATATGCACGTTAAATCAATATAATGGAGCTTTATGAAAGAATCTTTACACAGTTAAACAAATAATAACGATCGTCTGTGTTCCTACAGACGATCAGAAAGAGGTGAGAGATCTCTATTTGTCAATTTTTAGTACATATAAAATTCTTTTCGATGACTTGCATACTGCATCTTCTTTTTATTACTTCTATTGAGTAATTGGTAGTATATTTGGTGCTTTTTCTTTGATGCATGAGATATATACGATGCATAGAGCAAAGCGCATTTCGAGCATTATGGCGTTCGTAGTCCCATTCCATCCTGAGACACCGAAGACTTGGTACAAATAATTTCATTGCAGACAATAAATTTGTAGCATATATTGAGCACGTTTCTTGTTCGAAATATAGCGTTTCCGTGTGGAGGCGCGACGTAAAGACAAATTGTTTTTTTGTGAATGGCTAGGCGAGACTTCAAGGCACATTTTAAAGATCAAGGTTCGTTGAATTACATGCCATCCGATTTCGAAGTGCGTGGCATTAACACTTCACTTCTAGATCGAACGGTGCTCTCTTGAATAGATCGGTGCATTCTTCTTTTCCTCCTTCGCTGTGATGCGCGAGCGCGATATATTCTTTATCTGCTTGTCCTTCCCTCTCTCATCTGCACGTATTGTTCCAAGCATTCGTGACATTTCATTCTCCTCGATCTTAAAGTCCTAGTTCCAAGATCGCAGTGTGCTGGTTGGATCGCAGTTATACGAGTTGTAGCTTTGCATTCGTGTTGCAAAGATACGATTGCATTGAATATGCGATTAATTGTAGCAACTTTTGTACATTCATAAATGAATATACTTAAATTTTTAGTACCATCCTTGAAATAGTTAGATTAATTCGGTCTTTGGCAAGAACTTTATTAATTTTATTACTATATTCCTATAAAAAAAAACAAAAAAAAACTAGTTACAAAACAAATGATTAATTATGCATGTTTTAATCGAAAAACTCATTTTTCTTTTCAATTGTATTTGGATGTCTAAACACAATAATTTTATATAGTATAATTTAATATTTATATTTTCTCGTATTTCCAAATAAGTATATTATGAGGCGTGTACATTGTAAGTAATATAAAATATAAAAAATATAACAACCGTCAAAGAGATAGGAAATAATTTAGAGATTTGTGTAACAATTGCACAATAATAATTTGCTCATTAATTCTTACATTTGTCATGATGCAGTTACTGCAGATGAGTTATTGCATTTATTTATTTATCTTATTATAATTATTAATGCAATTATCGTGTTTTTTTCTATATTTTTGTACCTAAAAGAACTATTTATTAACTTGTGCACCTTCTTGATTTAACGATATCCTTAATCTATTTGTTAAAAAAAAATTGCTTACTTCTTTCAAGTTCCGTTTATCGTGACCTCGAAGTCTCGGTACTAGACTCTCAACGAGATCCTCTGTTACGTAAATTGCAAAGCCCTTCCCTCTCTTTGGTTGTCCAAATTCTAGGAAAAGAAACACATTCCACATTGCACCACAAGAGGTGAAAAGAGGTGCCGCCTAGTCGGTGTGTTCGGCGCCGAGTGTGCGCTTATTATCGCATGATGTAAGAAGTGAGTGTAGTTGGAGGCCGCAATCCCCTTTTTTCGCCGTAGCGATGCCCCACGTGAATCGCGGGAGGAGGTTAGCGTGTATCGATGTAAGAAGAAGACAGAACGTCGAATTCTATGTCGTAAAGCTTTTTATAGAATTTTGAAATATTGAAAATTATCAATGCTTTCTTACTATCGATGCACAACTTATTCAAAATTTATTTTAGACAATTTGCAATTTACGACGCAAAATTTACCTAAGCAAAGTTATCGCTGATCGATATACATTACAACCGATTCTCAAACATCATGATTGTCAGCTATTATGCGCAAAATTTTTTTTTACTCGTAAATGGCCTCTTCGCGTCGACACTCTGCGGCAAAACGGAGAATTTATCGTGAATTGGTACTCACGCAGTGACTCCTTCCCCGGAAGATATTTTTGTAGTGGGAGCACAGGGGAGGAAGAGGCCAAGTGGAACGTAAAATTCGCACGGCTGCGCGAATTCAATGGAAGGTTATGAATATCCGATTTTCTTGTCGAAGCCGCGTGTCATACTTAAATCTTCATCGCCGCTGTGCTTACTCGGCGATGCCTTTGTCCGTTGCGCGATCTAAGTAGGCATTCCCTTGGTCGCGATGAAAGTGAAAACTCTTCGCTCTGCTCGCGAGAGATGACCTACTGCTTGTCGAGAATCTGGGCGCTCCATCGCACATGTATTAACAATTATCTCTTTGCTGTCTTCCCATTATGCAGCACGATTCCCGAGTTGAAATTTCGATGTTGCTTTGACATGTTTTCAAAAATAGCTTTCGCTTATTTAGATACCCCATAAATTCTACTCGAAACCTACCTACATTTATTCTGATAGTAAGTTGCAATTTTTCTTTCTCACTTTGATCTTGATTTTTAAATGTTCAAAATTAACATTTACTTTAATATAGGCTTCAAATAGTCAGGTAAATTTTTTTTAACACTGTTTTTTATCTACAGCTTTAAACGGACATGTAAATTGCAACAAAATATTTCAATACAATTATTTTCATTGATCAGTTAATTGTTACAAAGTTTGTAAATTTTCAGTTCTTCTCTTGATAGGATATTATTTATTTTATACCGCAAATGCGAATGAGGCACATGTGTCGCAAATGCAGTAAAATTAAAATTAAAATTTAGGACTAGAATTTCTACGTATGAGCTGAGTTCAAATACAAAAAATTGTTATGTTATTATTTTAAATAGTTAAATAGTTCTAGTGATCCATTTGCGAGTATTTCATGAAAATTTTGAAGCACTTAATAATACATTTATACCAAAAATAAAAATATTAATTTAAAAATAGTATTTTTCGCTCGTAAAAGATGTGTTATCTTTTGCAATTTTTCTTTGCTACGTAAGAAATAATCGCACTTTACAAAACTATTCAAAGTGCGCACGCTTGGTTACTTCATCTTTATCTTGCAATTATGCCATTATGTCTGCTGCTTCACATGTATTTCTGGAATTAGCTTCTGAACGTGCATCTGCTGAGTATGTTCATATCTTGCATGCATGCGTGTGAGTACATGCGTTTTGAAATCCTCACACGATACTTTGGAATGAAAATGTACAATACTTCACTTCTGTTGGTCTCATTAGGAGAAAATTAATTTTCTCAGGAGATATTCGTGAATACCATAACTCTACAAATAATGTAATTAACCTAAACAACAATTAAGTATGATTTTACATCGCTTGTATAAGATATTTTATCGA